TTTGGGCGCCTTGGCTCTCACTCCAATGGAATGAATAGGCTGCTGATATTGTAGTTTGATACATTTGTTTTTTAGGGCAGCTTTCTCACTACAAGAACATATGCCACATGATATATGCTTTATTACTCATGGTTACTTCATTGGATGATTCGTTACCAGGTTTCAGCTTCATAACCATGTAATTGTGATGCTCTGTCCACAGACCTCTGAGGTGTCTGCCGGTGCCCGTCCCCCTCCACCCTCCACCGCCCGGCCGCCATGTCTGTGGAGAGTGAGTCGGCCTCTCTGCTGGCCGACCTGTCCGCCGGCGGCGACGACCTGATGCCGGCCGTCCGGCAGTCGCGCGGCTTCATCGAGCCGGAGCAGGAGCCGGCTCCGGCGCCGGTCGTGGCGCAGACGGCCGAGCCCGCCGAGCCGGAGCCGACTGCCGCCGCGCTGCCCGCGCTCGGCGACGGCGCCGCCACGTGCGCCGAGCGGCTGGAGCTGCTGGGAATGCTGCTGGCCAGCCCGTGTCCGAGCTCGACCATCACGGCGCCGCCCGAGCGGCTGCAGCTGCCGCTGCCGGCCGACGGCTTCATGTGCGACCAGTGCGGCGACAGGTGCGTATCGATGGGGCCTAACGGCAGTGGCTGGGCTGGGGGGTGGCAGGCTGCTTGGATGGTGCTGTTTAGCTGGTCGTACTTTGAAGGGTTTTGTGGCAATGATAGATTGAAATGATGCTTACAGCATTGCATGCATTAAAGCTTCAATGTGAGTTATGCAGCACAATTTTGAGTTCCAAGTTACACTTTGCTACATTTTCCATAAGCCTTGAAAAGCAATCATCACCCAACCAATATCTAGAGTGACGCCCCAGTTTCGCTGCCGTGACGTTTTACTCTCCCTGTTCTGTTCAGGTTCGTGCTGCCGGGCAGTCTGGCGCAGCACCAGCAGCGGCGTTCGATGCGAGTCACCCTCAACTGCCCCATGTGCCAGGCGCTGGTGGTGTTCGACAACAAGTGCCAGCTGCTCGGTGGGTGACGATGACACCGCTGTTCAGCGTTTAATGTCTGGTCGGGTTCAGTTGCTTCGTCGTACATAGCTTGTCCAGGCCAAAGCTAGTAGAAGTCATTTTGTGTCGACAGGAGGATAATTTGTTTGGACTTTTGATTGAGTTTTTAGTAGTATTTGTCGAATATTTTGCCATGATTGTGTAACGTGGATGACTTTTTACCATTCCAAGCCAACTGGCCCGACGAGACCCTCCCTGACACTCCACCTTCCACCGCTACAGAGCACCTGGACGCACACAAGATCGATCCCGTCTCGATCGACCCGGCTTTAATAGACGCCTCGGCGCTGACCGCCGCCGAGCTGGGGATCGTTCCGCCTACCCCAGCTGCTACCGCCGCTCCTGTCCCAGCCTCAGCCTCCCCCGGTGCAGCCAAACGGCCGGTCAAGGCGCAGGGCGTCAACAAGATCGTCAGGTAGGTCAGGGGTGCTGTCATGTGCAGACAAGAGATGGGGTCTGTTGGACTGCCCAGGAGTCGTTTGTGATCGGGATGCTATAGATGACGCGCTTTCAGCCTGCTCGCGTGTCGACTCTAGAGCACGCTGCTGTCATACTGCTGTTGAGTGGGGCGGGTTTGGGTCTGCCCTTTCCTTGTATTCGATGTTTTGTTTTTGTGCCTAACTATTGTGCAGCAATGCACTGATGCGAGATGTCGCTTGTATGTATATGCCGAATCCCACATCGATGCGTGTTTAGGCGTCTATTCCCCGTCTGAAGCTGTATGAGCTGACACCTCATTTGTGTTTGTGCAGGCCATCACCGATGTGTCAGCTGACACCTCGTTTGTGTGTTGCTGTATCAGCTGACACCTCGTTTGTGTGTGTTGTAGGCTGCAGCTGTATCAGCTGACACCTCGTTTGTGTGTTGCTGTATCAGCTGACACCTCGTTTGTGTGTGTTGTAGGCTGTAGCTGTATCAGCTGACACCCCGTGTTAGTGTGTGTGCAGGCTGTCACTGATGTATCAGCTGACACCTCGTTTGTGTGTGTTGTAGCTGTATCAGCTGACACCTCGTTTGTGTGTGTGCAGGCCGTCACCGATGAGCTGCCCGATGTGTAACCAGCTGTGCTCGACGCTGACGCTGGGGGAGCACCTGTGTCCCGAGCCGGAGGACGAGCTCACGCCGCTGCCGGCGCCGCCGCCGCGCTGCCCCGACTGCCAGCAGCCCTGCGCCACCGAGTGCTCCATGATGGCACACCAGGGCCTGCACAAGCCCGACCTGTGGCCCTACCCGTACGTGTGTCCCGAGTGCGGCGTCAAAATACTCGGCACGCACGACCAGGCGCTGCAGCACGTGGTGGCGGGCTGTCTGCACATGACGCGCGATGTGAAGATTTGCTGCTCCATCTGCCGCGAGGAGCTGGAGGATGCCAAGACGCACATGGTGCAGGCGCACGTGCAGAAGCTGTACAAGTGCCGCCGCTGTCCGCTGGCGTTCGAGTCCGCCAACGGGTTCAACTCGCACCTGCTGGAGAAACACGGAGGGGTACTGATAGCTGGCGAGTCGCCGTTCATGTCCATTCTCAAGTGCCCGTTCTGTGCGGCTACTTTTAACAACGCCAACGCGCTCAAGGAGCACATGGGCTCGCGGAAGCACGGCGAGCGAGTGCTACAGCAGGTGAGCTTCGTGTTCCGCTGTCCCGAGTGCGAGCTCGACTTCTCGGTCAAGTCGGAGCTGGCGAAGCACCTTGCCAAGCAGCATCCTGACTTTAAGCCGGTGAGCATGATCCTCCCTCTGCGCTCGACGGAGCCGCCGCCGCCGCCGCCTCCGTCTCGCCTTATGGGCCGGCCGCGAAACACCTCTGACACGCCGACTCGCTCTCAGCGCGGCCCGGTCGTCTACGCCTGCGGCATCTGCCACACCGACTTCAAACGTAAACCCGACTACACCGAGCACGCGCGCATGCACCTGCGCGACGGCGTGCCCATCTGCCTGCTGTGCAACACGCGCTTTGGCACCATGCAGATGCTCAAGAACCATCTGAACGACCACGCGTCGGAGCCGGGCCGCGACCGGTGCGGCCTCTGCTACGCCAAGCTGAACACGGTGGCGTCTCTGCAGTACCATCTGGAGGGGGAGCACGGTATGCGCACGTTCGACTGTGTGCGCTGCAGCATGTCCTTTGAGCGTCTGACCGACCTGAACCGACACAACTTCTCCGTCCACCGCAGCAGCGGCCGGGGCGTGCGGCGGACGGGCGCCAACCAGCCGGTGCCGACCCCGGCCGCGCTGGCACAGACGGCCGCCGCCACCCGCTCGCCGGCGCTCTCCGTCAAGCGCGCCCCGCCGGTGAAGGATGAGATGCCGGCGAAGCGGCGGCGCGCGCCGGCCGTCCAGGACGAGCCGGAGATGCACCTTCAGTTGGAGGAGGAGGAGGTGGACGAACCGCAGCCGCGCACTGACGGTGAGACACTGGAGGAGATCGCCAACTTCGTGGCCGCCGGCGACGGCGAGCGGTCGGCGCAGTTTGTGGTTGAGGAGGAGCCGGTGGCTGGGGAGACGGAGGAAGTGATCGAGCTCGAGCTGAATGAGGGAGAGATCACGGCTAAACAGGTGGACGCGTTCGGCGCGGAGACAGCGCTGCCGGCTACAGAGGAGGCTGAGTACATCATGCCGGACCTGGACGGCGCCGGCACACCTCACCGGCCCAGCGAGACAGAAGAGATGCTCGACATCAAACCCAACATAGCGGCGGCGCATGCGCAGTAGGGGTGCAGCAGGAGTGTGAGGAGGAAGAACACAGTGAAGGAGAGAAGGATGTAGAAGAATGTCCACGGGGGAGAGAAGGGTGTCAGTTTTCATCATCCAACATTTGCACATAATACTGGACTGGGAGTAGGGTAATCCCCCCACTAACGATTGTGCGTCTTGTCTGCTGTCCGATTTCCGCGGCTCTAGGCACTAGGCTACAGAGGTAGAGCGGATGTTTTATGTTAAGTATCTGAGTTCGAATTAACTGTCGAAACAGACCTTCGAATTCCATTGTTAAACACTGTTTGAGTTGCCCTTGCTTGCTAGGGCGTGGAAGATCGTGTTTTGCACACGCCGAACCGACCTGGCTTGGTGGACCGTAAGGACTTTTGATACTGTGTAGTGTTTTGCGCGCCTGTCTGGTTTAGGCAATGATGCGGCCCTGTAAAGCTGTCGGATGCATCGTTTTTACACATTTATCTGCTGTGGTGAACTTCGTATCAGCGAATATTCGTCGGTAGCTTCCGCGTGAATTGCTTTTTGGTGAATGTTTGAATGTATGTATTTGGATTAGAGATCATAGGACATTCACTCGACCTTACACCGTCACTTTGTACACGCATGGTACAAATCTGCCATTTTCCACGGAATATGTGAATACAAAATAAGGTACGTTTATTGTTTTGCTTGGAATGCCGCAATGCTACAGTAAAGTTCGTGGATTTGCTGTATTGATTTTGCAATAAACGCAGCCTCGTTCTTGGCTAGCTAAAGTCGGGATGAGCGAGTCTAGCCTGGCGGACTCGTTTGCTCGACTTTTGTATTACATTTTCTATCCAGTGCTCGACTGAAGGCAGTCAGGAACCGCACGGCTTGTCGCGTTAGGTGAGCGTGGGTCGTGCTTGACCTTTTGGAATCACCCACTCTGTACACTTGCCTTGTTTTCTATTTCATCGGTCAAACTCTGACCCGCACGGAACGTACTAGGTCTTAAATGTGTGTAGCCAATAGTTTGTGATATCCCCACAGGAACATGAAGGAGGAGTTGAACTACCTTCAATATCGGAACTATCGAGTGTGCAAACAGGTGAAAATGTCGGGTGCCTTGCTGTCTCCTGCTCTTTAGCCGTCACTCTTAGATTCTAGTAGTAAAGGCCTTAGCTTGACCCGCAGTAACCTGAACGCGATGTTTGGGATACATACCAACAAATCCGAGCCCTTTTTATCGATGAGCGCCAGAACAACAAAACTCCGCAGCTGACCAGACGACGCATCCGTGTCATTTATTCCAAGTCCCTGTCCCCACATCCGCGACCAGAATTACTGTACAAATGCAGCGGTTATCGGCGCCGCCAGCAGCGCCCGCCTTTGTACTTTGAACACTAACTGGGCGGCCGGCTAGGCGCAGCCTCCCGCCGACTCACTGCAGGCGGCCGCCGGACACACGTAATGCCACACGACACGACTCGTTTGAGCGAGTACATCACTGCCACACACACTACTCAACCGCAGGCCAGTATCCAGTGAACGACTTTATACAGCGCGGTCAATATTGTCTGTCACAACCCAGAGTGCATCACCACAGCTGGCGGTTTACACGCAGGCATATGTTACACCACATCACGTGCACGGTTCATTTATGGAGACTGGGACAGGCGGAGACGGTCACCCGTCTCCTACACAACATACCAGAGGCTATACTATACAATACATGTCATCGTCTGTAAGACACAGATATACAGGCACACGTGCAACTACACATCACACTATCGAATAAACATCTGAGATTGGAAGACCCGCTCCTGACCGGTCAGCCGACTGTTCCTCCCTCCCTCCCTCTCTCTCTCGGCCCGTCCTCTACCGTCCGTAGGTGAGAGATCTCACCACCTGGCGGCCACCGTGCGAATCTCACCAACACCGGTGAGAACGTCCAGCGTTCTCATGAAGCGTGGTCTCAATAACACTGCGCAAACTTCTCAGGTTCTCAGTATTCACACCGAATTCGCCCGTTCGTCCGTGCGTTCTTTCGTGGACCATTCACTCCACCACTGAACTCGCTCACATGTTCACTAAATGCCCCGTCACAGTCTCACGCACCCGTGCGTTCAGCGTCTCTTAGCGCGCGCGCAGTCCTGGCCATATCGCTACGCCGGCACGTCCCAGATCTCGTGCAGGAACGGCGGCAGCGTCTTCTGCTTCAGCTTCAGCGACCAGCAGAGCTCGGTGTTGAGCTTGCCCAGCTGACGGACCTCGGTCAGCACGCTGAGCAGCTTGGCGAAGATGACGCCGGTCGGCGGCGGCCGCTGGAAGTCCACGTACGCCCTCAGCGCCTCCACGTAGATGGACTGGATCCGCTCCACCTTCTCTGGTTCCTGCAGCATGCACCGATCTGAGGATAGGGGGATAAAAGCCAGAAAGGTCAGATGCTGACGTGAAGAACTTCTGGTCGGACCGCCAAATGCATATAACGTGAGTTGTTGTAAAATCTACAAACGGTCTATGCTTGCGTGACCAACAAAAATAACTCCAAAATAACTATCATTCGCCGTCGCGTAAAGGCCGTACATTCGTGTAAGAAGTTTGCTCGGAGATTGATTCGACTACGTGCACTGACGAATCAGCCTGAAAAAGTAGGCAGTATAAAGCTTGAAGCGGCAAACAAATGAACCACTAGCCAGCAGTCATCCAGCACTGTCACCATCATCTCACCGGAGAAGATGTCGATGGCGGTCAGCAGGGCGTACTCGGCGTTGTCCACCTTCATCTTGGACATCTTCTTGCAGAACTTGAAGTTCTTCTCGATGGTGGAGGCGTCCAGTCCGGCGCGCTCGTAGGCGGCGCGCGTGTACGGGTAGTTGTTGGCGAACACGATTGACTCAGTGTCCTCGTCGTAGCGACGGGCACAGCGCAGCATCATCACCTCGCTCGAACAGGCCTGTGGGGACGGGGGACGGTTAGATGGCGCTGGGGTGCCGGTGAAGCATGCATGGGTGTGAGGTGGGTGGATAAGACGCCGAAAGATAAGGAGTATGGTGAATTTCAAGACATAATTATGTAACTTTGGGGACATAAAACCTTCGGAATGTGTACTTTGAAGCTAAAATAGCTGGCAGTGACACTAACAGCCAAAATGGAGATAAAAGCCTCGTGAATATACTAAAAGTGACAAGTCAGGTTCATGACCAGCGATGACACTGTAGGTATGCTACGTTATCGGCACTTTGCAGCAGCGTGACGGCTTGACAACTGAATGGCTCAAACCAGTTACCGTAATGAAACACGCAAAGCCAGATAAGGCGGTCATGACAGCATATCGTCACGCTATACTCATGTACTGGACACATGACTCGAACAATGTGAATTCGTTCCAAGACGGGAGCGTTAACAAATACGAATGGCGTTACTCATGGGTCGCTCATTTAGAACGGAACACTCGTTCAGCGTATCCACATACACAATGCACACCACTTACCCGCTGCCGATGGTTTTCAAACGCTAGTTCATGGTTTGATTATTACTGTCTCAGTCTACCACTCAAGCCAGAACATGGCATGCATGGCATCCACGTCTAGAACTTAAACAACAGCTCAGCACCCTTGCTGCTCATATCCCGGACATTGTCAATGCCAACGCTGACTTGAGCAAAACCTACCCAATGACCTGACCTCGCCCTAACCTGACCACCGTGGCCCGACTGTGACCCGGCTCTACCTTGAGCAGCGTGATCTGGTCGTCCTTGAGCAGCCGGTCGAAGAAGGTGAGCCGTTTGCTGAACTCGACAATCAGCTTGATGGTGAGGATGGTCATCTCTGTGATACGGCTCAGGTGCAGCTCCGAGTCGTCGGCGGCCGACGCGTTCACCTGGGCCTGTCGACGGGCGGCGCCGCCACCGTCACACCAACGACTCCAAGACTCTGACTCACGAGCCTAACTCTGACTCGGGAGTTGTGTCGTGTTGGAGGCAGGTGTCGCCATCTCTGGCTGAGCGTCCTTGGATTGTGGAGTTGAGTGACTCCGTAGGACGCCAGGTCGGCTTGGATCAGAGGCATTGGTCCTTAGTCCTGTGTCTCATCCCGTTCCCATGCCTCAGGCGCGTGCAGCGTAGATGGCGCCAGCAGCGCGGTGCAGTAACACCCGCAGAAAGGTTCATCAGACAGAGGTAGAGAGAGAGAGAGAGAGAGAGAGAGAGCCAAGAACCGCCACCGTATCCCGAAAGCGACTACCGCTACCTCGCCACTGCCGGGGAACAAGCTGTGGATGCATGGTACAGATGAGGAGGCATACCTTACCGGAGCGGACGGCGGCCGACGTGACTCCGTTCAACATCGACGCCTCCATGCTGGCGATGTTGACGTGGAACTTGTAAAAACTTCCCGAATAAACTAGGATTTACCAGTGTTACTCCCTTTTCCTATGATTCTCCCAATATATCATGCGTGTCTGTGCCACGTTTGTACACAGATAGAACATAAAACTGCATCTTTTCATATCACCGTTATCCAAGCTCGGACGCCATGGCACCGAAGGAAAATGTAGAGGAAACAATGTAAACAATCATCTCTGCTTGAGCAAATGTTTAACACCAGACTTACAGCTTCTGTGTCGCCTTTACTTCCCAGCACAACAAACATGGCTCTGCAGCACCGCATTTTCCTCTGGCGCACAGACGAAACTGACAACACCGTTGTCATAATCCGGATAGATCGATCACACAGGTAAGACTTGCTCCTGTCGCCACCGACAAGACACCTTTGAAAAGTCCAGCAGTCATCGACCGGATCGACCAAGGTCACCCCTAAAAGCTTCTTGTGACCAGTCCAGTTCCTTGCTTGACATTTGAAAAGGCAGTGATAACAGTAAAACCAGATAGAATCATTTCATATCCGAAGACACGATGCCATGTGATGCAGATGGCATTCGATGAGTAGCCAACACTGCGGTCAGCGGCGATGCACATATCGCGCACTGTCATCACAAATCAAACATGAGCTCTAGGCCGTCAGTGGCTAGTGATTGCCAGATAGTACACTAGTAAAGGATGGTCCCTTCCGTGGGCGTCAAGTTCAAGAAACATAACAATCGCCTATTTCTGTGATACATTAGAAGTGTAACGCGTGGATTAAACAAATAATCTAACAGGTACTAATGTATATTTGCAATCATAGCTCTGAATAGTAATCGGCTTATGTTCTACCCACGACCACATATGATTGACTGCACCGCAGTTTTGGCAGCCGTCAATTAAATGCCATTTATGAAGCTATAAATAGGTATCCCTAATCGATCTGCAATGCATAACAAATTCAATTTGACATACAACATGCATTAAATCAAGGCTCAACGTCCTGCTAATTACCAGAAAAGCATTATATTACTAACGTAAGAAATTGACAGCAAAAGACACCTCGTGAAGCACGTCGGAAACAGAAAAAATGGCTTCTTGTCGACAAGCCGTTCCCCTATAAAATATGACACTGTCTTTGTCGTTCGGTCCTCGGATTTAGCTCGTCAGATACAGGATTTTTACACGCGCCTTTACAGACTGGTGGAAGGCGTTACCGCGGTGCAGAGACCAGTCAGGGTTTTCCACGCCACCCGGCAACTGGCAACGCGGCAGCAGACTTGACAACAGCGGGCGGCAGAGCTGACGGTAGTTTGTGCTGCCTCTGCTGCGGGAAAAGTCTGTGACGCAGGTAGCTTTAGCCCAACATAGCTCCACTCGTGGAAAAGAATTGGACTGCTGCTGCAGTTCGGAGACTCTGGAGCCAATCAATCTGCCTTCCAGACATCCTCCAGCGGCATGAATCATTGTTCGTCCATGACTCTGACCACCAGACTTACAAAATAGATCGAGTCTTTCTGCAGTGCGACTTCGAGAGACGACTTCAGGAGACGAATCATTTCACGAAGCCCTATAAAGTGTCCTCCAGGACGATATCACAGCTGCCCAAAATTCGTGCACTCGGAGAGCTCATCCACTAGCTGACATTCCGACAGACGGCCTGCCTCTCCTCGCTCTTTACTTACGCAGTTGACCCCTGCCCAGTATGGCACAATACTCACCTCTCACCTTCTGCTCTCGCCGTTCCGAGCCTCTCACACCTCACACTCTCACTCTCTCACCTCACCCGTCCACTCACACCCTACCTCCCTCATCACCCGCCGCGCGGCCCCGACCATCACCTTCACAAGGCAAATCTGATCGTCGCGGCAGAGCTTGTCCTGGAAGCCGGGCAGCTGTTTGGTGAACTCGACTATTAGGCGCACGGTGAGCACCGTCAGGCCGGTGATCTGCTTACACTGCAGCTCGGCAGGGTCGGAGCTGCTCCGCTCCAGCTGCAACGTCACACAGACAGACGGGCCGCTCACACACCGCACACCGCCACCGCAGCCAGCGCCCCAGTGACGTCATAATGACGTCACGGCGGCACAACGGGCGGCAACCAGCACCAAAAGCAGCCCAGTGCACAGAACAGAGCTGTGATGTGTAGGAATGAGTGAAACACAATTGTGATTAGGTGATACTACCCAGACATTTTAATTCAACGCAATCGAGGATATTTACCAAAAAAGGAACCGAAGTGGACAGGACAAATCACAGGATAACAAATATATGCACAAGTGATGGGGAGGGAAGACCATGCACGATTAAATTTATCTACTTCAAAAGCCCGTGCAATGAAAGATGACTGGCAAATCCTCTCATCTCATGGGGAACAAAATCACACAATCTGGTAGCGGTAGTGTGCAGGTGCAACCTTTTCAGCAAAGCGAGGTTTCAAACAAAAAGAAGTCAAATATTGCCGAGCTATGGCACTCGGTGATATCCAATTCAAAAATTGCAATCTCTATTTAAAGGAAATAGTTCACTTTTAACATGGGGTTTTGAACTGGAATAGCAGTTTCGTAGCTTGAGCTGAGACTAGCACAAATCAGGAGCTTTTACGGCTCAACGATCACCCTAGACGAAGATATTCCATTTCTCGTTCCGAAAAGAGTGCCTTGCAGAGGAATGTGTGCCTTGCACAGGAATGCAGCCACGTCATCGTCAGCCAATCAGCATGCTGCTTACAGCCAATGCAGCATGCGTAGGTTTGAACTACGCAATATGATTGGTCAACGCGTAATAAGCTTCCGCGTCAAACATTATTTTACATAGAATATAGTTCGTCCTATATTAAAATATAGAAAATAATTGTTTTTACAAAAAGGTTTTATTTTATTTTCTGATCATTTTGAGCATAACAAATCATAAATCCATAGCAAAATACTAATTTCAGGAAAGTGAACTGTTTCCTTTAACCTTAGCGGATTTAATGACGACCGACAGCGGCTATGTTAGACAAAGCGTTATTGCAAGCGTTAAACATGCATGCTTGTCCTGAGTCATTAACCGTTGGAGCTGTGTGTGCTTGTGTATTGATGGGTAAAACAAAATAAACACATTGTTCACAACAGAATAAAAATGTTTAATCACACAGTGTTATTCAATGTTCAGCCAGCCGACAAAAAAAAATCATGCAGGAAAAAACTAATTTAAAAAGAGCTCACAATGTGATCAACAAACGAATTACATCCGAGAACAACTGACTTCCTACATAGACTCTCCTGGCCTTCTTTTAATAACCTACTAAGCACTCCTTAATCAGTATCGCTTTACTGACAAACTCAGACAAGAAAACTTTAGGCACTCCCCTCCCTACTTTTGCTCCCTTGTGAACCCCCTTTCCTTTGCTCCCCGGTGACCTGTAGGTACACCGCCGATCACCGCCGATCACTCACCGCCGATCGGCGCATGTCCTCCTTGGTTGGCGACTCGTACTCCTCCTGGTAGCGCACCAGTCGGTTGATGAGCTCGTCTTGCTCAGCGGTCAGCGTCTTCCGACCGGGCACCGGCATACAGAGAGGGCCGGAGCCGGGGCCGCCGCCGCCGCCGCCGCCCGGCTCACCGGCACCCTGGGCCACGGCCACCTCGTCCTGAGAGATCTGAGGGCAGGCAGGGTGATAGGTGAGATACGTCATACGGCCACCTCATCCTGAGAGCTGAGAATAGGGGAGGGGGAGAGGTGAGATTTCATATACGGTTAACTCATCCTGAGGGACCTGAGGACCAGGGGGGGGGAGGTGATAGGTGGGATACGGCCACCTCATCCTGAAAGACTTGAGGACAGGAGTGTCATGTGAGTCACGGCCAGCCCATGGGAGACTTGAAGGCAGGGAGGTATGCGAGCCATGACCACCTCACACTAGAAGACCTGGCGGCAGGGACAGGGCTGAAGTGTGAGGCTCAGTCAACTTTCATTGGAGATCTTTGAGCACCTAAAAGTTGAAAGATGGCACAATACACATCCTCTTGAGGGAACACAATAAAATAAAAGGTATAATGTTTTCCCGTTGACATATAGATTCGTCGCTCCTTCCCCGCTGTATACTGACCGTGGCCGGCGACAGGATGCCCCGCTTGTCCCCGGCGTCGGACGGAGTGGGAGTGGACGGCTCGGAGGGCACGGAGCCAGAGCGCGCCCGACCGCGCTGCTTCTCCTTCTCCTGACGCTTGGCCTTGCACGTGAACTCGGGAACCACACCTGGGGGAGACGGCCAGAGGTCAGGTCAGGGGTCACCAGAGGCGGCTAGATAATGCATGGACAAACTCAATTATACTCATTTATACAATGTCAGCATGTGGCTATGGTTGCACTTTGAGCATCCATCCATATTTTATGGTCTGGAAAATATGTTTCGATGTTTTTAAAATAATAATTATGATAAACAAATAGAAGAGCTGAATACACTGTGGTAGCAAGAAGTTCATTTCCTAGATGGATTCTAAAGCATTGTAATTATGAGTGATTTGGACGTTTTCTTAAATGGTGCCCACGTCAAGCGACAGACGCCCACAGCCCCAGAACAATCACGGCGGGTTGCTGCCCGTCATGGAACACGTAACAGCATCAAATGACTGGACGAGTCTGCGGGCGGTCGACTAGGCGGTACATTTGTGAATTATTGTTGCGGAGGAGGACCGAATGAATCATAGAAACGCGCCTCAGACCGAACCGTTATAAACGTCTGACAAGGTCACGGTTACAGACGCATGACAAATTTGGCCCAATATAGAGCAGAAATTACGGATCGCCCACGGCTCCAATTACAGGCGATCAAGGGGTCCGCAGCAAAATTATAATAGCGGCACCTGCGCTCGCGTCGCTAGCCGTAAAAGCATTTCGATACGGCCATTCCACATACCAGCCGGTCGCGATGCAACATGCCCGTAATCTGGCCGCAATTAATCCACCTTCCCCACCTGACGCCTGAAACACCCGGCCCCTCCCTCCTCCCCAGTCACGCCGTTTGGATAAGCGTCAGAGCCGACGTCACAATGTGGACAGACGGGGCGGCAATGTGGACGCCGTGTGGACGGACCGGGCCGGCCGGCTGGCGCGCAGTGGCCATTACACGGAAACGGCCCGCCGGCGGCGGCGCGGCGCGGGGCGGTCGTTCACCCCTCGCCCTTGACCTTGGGCAAGTCCAGTTGGGCGGGCGGCCGGCGGCCCGGAGACGGAGACAGCCGCCGCGGCCAGGGTCGCCGCTCAGAGAGACCACCGGAGCGCACCGGACCGGAGACCGGATCAGGTGGTCCGGTGATCGGTCCCCGGGGGTCGGTCCGGACAGGTGGGGACGGTCCTTGGGGCGTGGCGAGGTATGTGGGATCTGTGAGCGGCATCGCCCGGTGATGTCCAAATGATCGGTCGGGATGCAGGGAAGGGATGGAAAATTCCACCGATATATCGGTCAAAAGCTGCACACCAGCCGGCGGGTGAAAAGTGAGAACAAATTACGGTCAACAGGTGAAAAAAAAATAGTTAACTTACATTCTGGCCGCATCCCGACGGCGAGACACTTCTTCAGGCGACATTCTTGACATTTTCTCCGCATATACATATCGATCTCGCAGTTCTGGCCATATTTACACACGTATACAATGTTCTTCGTCATGCTTCGCCGGAAGAAACCTGAAAGAAAATCAGCGTCAGCCCTCAATACTTCTGGGTATAACAGGATGACAAAGAATACATATTGCCTATTGGCGACCAGCTGACAGGGGCGGATCCAGCCGATCCGTTTGGGGAGGGCAAAAGTTTAGCCGACCATCGGCGACCCCGACCCACCACCGCACGAGTGACCAAGTTACTTCACAACGCCAGTTACACCATCTTACCGTAAGATGGTGTAAAATGTCTTATGTTAATCTGTGCCCAGCCGCGCTGGGGCTCCTGGATTTTCACGCCCCTGGGGGATGTTTGAACGCCCATATCCCTTCTAACTCGGCTCCTGGGCCACGTAGCAACACGCGGTAGGCGGCGTTTGAAAGAGTGTCAAACATAATGACCAAATTACCCCAGTCACTTTTAAGGTCAGGTCAGATTTCAGATCACCATAGAGCCCATCAAAGGCCAAATCCCGATAATATTTAGGCCCAGTTTCGACAATTTTTGAAGAACTGGCGCATAACTCGGAAACGAATAGAGCCAGAGCGCCCCAGAAAAGCTAATTTGATAGCACTGTTACTGCTATTTCTGGATAATTCGCTCAGATTCGACCTAAGATCAACGGTTTAGCCTCCGGGGGAAACTGCCATAATATACACTATTTTTACGGGAACGGATTTTCTGCGATAACTTTTGAATCAAACCTTGTGCGATCTTACTTTTACCGGCATCGTGTAAATTCGGCATTAGCGAATTGCTGCAAACTTTTGCATATCTTTCGTGACCTGAGATGATCTCAGGGACATGAGGAGGGGTCACGGGTGCTATTTTCCGGTTCACTGTGTGCTGTTTAGGTTGTAACTCGGTATTGTTAAGAGTGACGTTTCTTATAAATTTAGCACGAATGTTTGAAAGGGCGGATTGACGGGAGCTGGACCTACGCTAAGCAGAGCTTGTTGCGTAGAGCCCCACCCCTACCGTCCGATAGCGTAATTCCGGGTGACAGGAGAATTTAGTTTAACGTTTAACGATGCCAATGTTTTACGTGCCCTTCAAAAACGGACACGGCCTGTCCCACTCCTGACTTTGAATGGCTGCGGCTGCTCCCACCAACCTCAGACCATCCCCGTCAGGAGTCTCAAATATCGAGCGCCGGAGCGACTCAAACCCGGGCTCTCACTTATACCGGGAGTCCACTGCTTTACCAACTGAGCTACCGGACAGGAGGTTTGCCCCAAAAAGGTGCCTTTCAATTTTCTCTTATTGACTTATAGTGGAGAGGTCGCAAAAATGACCTAGCCCTAGGTCATCGATATAAAAATCATGTGACTAACATTTTGTACATAGGTACTGTTACCCTTATTAACTGCTGAAAGTTTCAAAGCGATCCGTCACTCGGTTTAGCTATGGCAAGCATTGGAACTGTTTTAGGTTATGTCACTTGACGTAGCACCTACAGCTTAGTGACTTCGTGACCTTGAGAGAACTTGGTCTGACATTTTCAGAACATATGCAAAAAATAGGTATAAAATGGCGGCTAGGCACGTCGCCGTTTTTTTTTTTTACGCGGAACGCTCCACAGCAATGAGGCTCCCAACAAATGACAAAACTGTGGATTGCTTAGGTAATTTCGAATATATGGTGGTGGGCGTCTTACCCGATTGGGCATCTTGCCCCGTGTTACCCCACACCATGGCCATTGGCCACACTGCATATGCTTATGCATGCATTCAGTTCAGGGGTTCAATCTAATATCAGCATATCGACCCAAAATATCAGCAGCCAGTGGTCAGCTCCTTCCTTCGGAATGGCCCTCACGGAAAGAAGCCCTGCTTTTCGTCCATATAGGCATCGACGCCGTATAAGATTTGCTCATCGCTACATGTTTTGGGAGGGGCAAAAAGATAGTCTTGCCCACACGATTTGGCTTTGGGGAGGGCAAATGCCCATTTTGCCCTCCCCTGGATCCGCCACTGCCAGCTGAAACGATACCAGCATGAAATTTCAAGGTCAAAAGTGACGGGGACCATTTGACAGTGAATTTGAGTGAGTTTATCGTCCATGCGTGAGCAGTGAGCACCAATGAAGCGCTAAACGAACGCACTTACACACGAATATCAAAAACTTCACCAAAAATGTTACTAAGAAAAGACAACTGAAAAGGGTTGACCGATTTCATTTCGAGGAGCACTAAGGGGAAAATGCATGGAGATCGTATTCAACGGGCTGTCATCTCCATTAGGCTAATGCGCGGCAACAGCGCGGAAAAGACGATTAAGGTCGTCCACAAACACACTGTCACTCTCCATTGACCGCGAGGGCAGGAAAGCATTCTGGGTAATCCCATGAGAGGTCAATGAACTCACCTTTGCAACCTTCACACGTGAGAGCGTTGTAATGGTAGCCCGAGGCCCTGTCTCCACAGACTAGACACAGCTCCTCACTGAGCCGGGGCAACGGACCTTTCTTCTTCTTTTCTTCAACATTGTTGTTGTTGAAGGGTCCATTGCTATTTGGCGGCGACATGTCATCGTGGCCTGCAAGCAGCAAAATCGACTCACTCACAAACTGCATTATTCAGCACTAAAAAGGTGATCGCTGAACAATTATTGCAATGGCCTATAGCTGAGCGCATATGACGCCTATCATTCCTTGATTGATTCAACAAGGTGCCCTATGCGTCCACTTGTTTGGAATTTGATTGGGAAAAAGTAGGGCAACACGTGGAAAACGTGGCAACCTGAAAAAGGTTTTCACGTGCCCTTCGATACCTCGCATCCTTAAAATTTTGGGAGTGGTTCGAAATTGATTTTCAATCGCGCAGGATGGCCTTGCGCGCAGGTAATTCACCGGCCATTCGTTTGGGAAACACATCTTTTTACCTTTTGGCCCCTGGCCCTCAATGTAAACACAAAAGTTAACGTACGTGATATAAATAATCAGAACCATTGCATTGATCAATGATCAACAGCACAGGATAGCATTGTGTTCCATTGCATCGACATGTGATTGGCCTCTTCTCTTGCAACACTTCTGCAAAATCACTTACAAGTAGCCCAATCACACAAGCCCTTGATGGATCATATCAATCACATCATATTATTGTATACACAAACACTGAACAGCAATGGCAGGCAGTAGCTCCCCAAATGCAAAAATGGACCAGCGGCACTTCCTTGAGCCTACACCCAACATTCGACACTCGACAGCATCACGTTATAACACGCGATCCGCGTCACACGATCCAGACATCACGTCAGTCAACACAGACGTTTGCACGAAATCCCCACTCCCTGCAGCGAGAGTTCCAGCCGTTTTCACTGCAGTGTCATCAGCCTCGACCACGGCTAAAACCACCACAGCCGCAGCAGAGGACTATTTCGGGCCAGTTCGACCGCCGCGCCAAACACCTCTGGGAATCCTGCACCGAACCGGACCGGAAAGCACCCGCCTGCATGGGAAGTCAAGTTCAAAGAACGCTCCAAGGTGAGTGTTCTCACGTCTGTGGTCGTCGCGGCTGGGCGGCCGGTGATGATTGCCACGGCCGGCCTAACCGTCGTCTGGGTATGAAGTGGCGCTGGGACGGCCCCGGAACAGAAGGGCACAGCCTCGCCCCCGGCCGTTCATGAGGTGATTGCCATTTACAGCCTGGCCTCAGGTCTCTGCTCCGAGTCCCCACCGCCGCCAACGACCGCTGCCAGCCTCCAAACATCAGATAAAACCAGAAGCGTCCTTCAAACGCCGATCTTTGGGAGCCACCGATCGTAATTCTCTTCCTGGTTCCAGCAGTGACGTGTATCGATAGGTGTGATGTATCGATGCCTCGTCATAAAAAGAAAGAAATAATGCCGACGGTGCACGGATCCGATAAGACCAGCTTAGGGCTCACTGTCCTCTCTATCCCAGGTTTTGCAAAGAACGACAAATCCACCAGATCCCGGGCCACTTTCTAAACGCTGAGAGGGCGACTTAGCTCGTCACAGATCCCGCAGGAATTCACCCTGTCAGGCAGCGACAGTGGTCAGTGGTCACCCGGGGGTCATCCCATGACATCATTCCCCGCTCGAAGACACCACGACAGGATAAGTCACGTGGCGACTTCTGCAAACTGGTCACAAAGGACCGATTCGAGAATCGGTAGAAAGCGGGTGTGTTTTCAGAAGCTGAGCTGACGTGCCCGGTCTCTGCCCGCCACTGAGATGTGGTAGGACCGGCTGTGGTTCGGCCGGGAGGCTTTGTTCCACAGTCGGCCATGAACTGCAGTACCGTTGTGGGGCTCCGAGGGAGGCCGTGCCGCCCGCCCTCTCACCGAGATGGATGACGCGGCATATCAGGAGCTCCACTTGGAGCTCAGCAATCAATCATCGTTTCAAAATTATAAAACTCCACAGAAACGGAAATAAATAACGGAAGTTTAAAACTACGGTAAAACTTGAAATTGGTTGTCTTCACTGTGACAAGAATCAGTAGCGGCGACTCCACACCTCTTCACACCATTGTTCGGCGGAAACATACGTCTTGCATATGGTCATCTGAATCCAGCCCACAGCACGCAATCGATCAACGTCTCGATAGTGCCCCCTACCCTACCATTAATGTCGGTCGGAATGTTCCCTTCAAGCCCATCACTAAATGTGATCCCGTTACCAACAAAAGGAAACCATCGTACACGCCCATAAGGCGAAAACTGTCGGCAATCAAGCAACAAAGCCGGCTATCGCAATCGGCATTTCAGTGCATGCTATCCTGTTGGAACAAACTCAACGGTCCTCGCCCAACCCGTTATGTAAAATACCATACAGGACGAGGGTTTTCACAGCCCTTTAAGCCCAAAAGATTCCAGAGTCTCTATTATGGGGTCTAGATAAGGTGTCCGGTTCCTTCTGACACTGTAAGAAATGTTTTTAAAACAGTTTCAACCACCCCAAGCCTCCAAGCGCGGGTCACACCGGATGGATGACATTGTTCCTTTGTCTCCGGCCGAGATCCCTCCGACAGCAGCGGGCCATGACACCGTGCTGACACACCGTGACACCCCTGTTGACACAACAGGGTCGGTGTCATCGCGCTCCTCCCCTGTCAGCCCCCCAGCCCCCGCCTCGCTGGCCCCCGCCCACCTCGCCCCAGTCTCGACTTTGTCCTGTTCCCCATGGTTCCGACCGACAGTCTAATCAAATATGACACGATCAGACGGAATACATATTAAAAGACGATGATTCAATAGTTGACATGAAGTGTTATCAAGTCAAACTTCCTAGTTGATCACGATTTCCTGGTTCCATTTTTTTTCACCGATACTTCATGATTTTGCTAGCTGAAGATTTATTGACATATAAATGGAAGTTGCCCGGATTTTGCTCGTAGGCAGCATTTACCTGCAGAAAGCAACGGGAAATCTACCAAAGGCATGAAATGCCAAAGATGTCGAGCATTGGCCTGCATTTCCCGCTTGCTTTGGAAGGGAAGTAAACAGTGGATGACATCAGCAACCAATCATGCAAAAATACACTGCAATACGACACCGACACATTAACGACGAACGGCACGACGTAGGCTGACGCGTCAGTTCGCGGAAAGGCTTCACGAGCTGGAAGCAGCGCTCCCGGTTCGGCCAAACTTTCCGGTTCGCCGGGCAGCTCACAGGAGAATTGGGCCACACACGGCGGAATGTCCAGTGTGACGGTATGTGCAAGATAGTAGATATAGGGTGGTAGGACAGGGAAGTGTGGTGAGCTGGTGGGCCTCATTCAGGCTCTAAGGTTTTACGAGAATTTAGAGTTTGCAAGTTGTACTAAGAAGTAGAGCTGAGACGGATCTAGGTATAGGATAATTACACTAAACTGGGGCAACATCCACCACAAGCCTTTTAAGTAGAACCACAGCACAGATATGAATTGCAATAACGCTCAAGCGCGATAATAAACACGCCAAAATATAAACAAATAAACATAATAAAACGAGCCACACCATGAATCTGGCCTGATGAGAATGCAGCAACCAATTGCATTAGCATATCGTGCCCAAATGAAGCAGCCCGTAACCGCCTGCTGACCTTGTCCGGTCAAAGGCAGCACAGCCTCCCTGTCCGCACCTATCTCCTGGTCTGACGGGCGACGGGTGATGGGGAGAGGGGCACCCAACCGTGACGGTGCCGCCTGCTGGGGGAGGCCGAGGCGGGGCGGAGGCGGGGTGGAGGCGGCAGGGGAGGCGGGGAGACGGAGGCGAGGCGGGGAGACGGAGGCGCTGCCGTGCAGGCGTACGGTCATCTCATTATACGGCGTATATACCCCGCGGTCCCTCCCCCGGCTCCCCGCGTGGCCGCCGTCGGGCCTCGGTTAACTAACACGCAGCACGAGAGAGCCGACCTATCTGCAGAGCAGCAGTGCAGGCCCCCGCCCGGGGCTGGAGCGTGCACCAAATGACCAGCCAGCACACCGCGCCGGTCCGGGCGGTGTCCACGCCGCGCCGGCGCACCCCTCTCGAACCGACTCAGGGGAGACGAGATACTCGTACCCAGACGAATGGTGGGACGCGAAGCGTTGCAGAGGGGGAGATAAGGGAGGTGCATGAACGCGACATAACGATATGGCGCTCCGCCAGGCTGTTTGGCCGACGCCGCTGGTGGTCCCTCCAAATGTCATTGTTTTCCATCAACAATGCATGAGACTACCGTAGCGGATCCGAAACGGTCAACAGCCGATGAGAGCGAGCACGCTGACAGAATGCATCAAACATTCACTCAGCGCGTCCAAATGCACCCACTGCAGCCGTGATCCCTTGTCGGAGCCGTCCGTGCAGCTACAAAAGCCAGGTGTGACGTCATTCAATGCAAGTCGGTACAGGCAGTGTATTGACTGCACTTGACCCTAGCGGTCACTCCCATTTTCAATTTCATCCGCCAAGCTCAGGCGGGCAGCGGGCGAGGCGAAGACTGAGTGAGGCACTAAGAACAACGAAGAGTGAGGAGTGGTAGAGTGAGGATCAGGAGTGGGAAGGGCGTCGAGTATCACGCCGCGCACCGATCGACCTTGCAGCCACCGCGACTAATCCAGCGTCGCTCGTCGTGACACACTCGGTCATGCATGGCTCATCGCTGGGAGACCCCGAGTTAACGAACGACCGCAGCACCCTGCGACCGCCGCGACCGCCGCCGCGCTGGGCTGGGCCGGCGCGGAGTCGGCCTGCGCAAGTCAAACACCACATCACCGCCGCGGGGCGCGCCCGGGGCCGCGGCGACCGGCACCGGATGGCCTTCGCCGGTCGGCCGGGCGGGCAGACGCCGCCCGGGGCACCGGCCGCGCCGGGCCGGCACGTTCAGTATCACCAGGCGGATCGCCGGCCGTCCAGAGAACAGCCGAGAGGCAGCTCTCTGCGCGGAGGGCTGAGAGCCGAGGGTGCGGCTGCCAAAAGTTCAGTAGCAGTTTCCTCTGAACCCGTTACCATCCGGATCTCTCAGTTAGGCCGTTAGATGCTTTGATGGATAACATCTGATTCGAGAGCCAACGAACTCTAAAGAACCAATTAGTTGAGCATCTAA